AATGAGTGATGTGCGTGAAAACCTAAGAAACAAATATAATAATAAACCTGTCTTTATTGTAAACCAAATCGCGAAGGGTCTCGCTTGATGCAGGATGGCCGAGCTGTTAGCATTTTTATAATATTAGCATTTTTTACAGATCGGTCAATAGTACAGTTATTGCTTTTATCTTAGTTTGTCTATGCTAAATCAAGCCACATCACCTTACCTCCCCACCATTTTATCACGTGACGTGAAGGGGGGACGGACTAGCGAGTGGAGCAGTCATAAATACGGTATTCAGTCGAGAGCCTCCGTCGTGAATAGTGGTCCAATATTTAACGTGGTGTTGCTGCTAAATATTCTTGTTATAATAATTTTAGTTTATATTACAGTGAAGTACAAGTTGAATAAAGCAAGTGGAAAATTAACATTGTGGTTTAACTTCTGGAAACTAATCTAATAATACTATTTTGAATAAACTAAAATCTGCATTCCTAGCCCGACCGATTTTAGGTATGAATAATGAAGTACATACGTATACAAGCTTACTTTCGGTATCTCGTACTTTCGTATGATAGCTGGCTGTGGTGAAAACCTCAACAATTTCTGGACCTGTAAAGCTTATTTACCGCAGGATGTTACACATAGGTAACATTAAGACTTGGAAGACAATAACTACCGGCGGCACCACTGTTTGCTTCCTATTCTAAAGAATAAAGGACAATGGGCAAAAATGTATGGATGCTGCACCCACGTCCGCCACGGCTTAAACTACATTTGTTTGAAAGGTATTATAGTCATGATCATCTGTGCCAAAGCGCTTCAAATTCTATCCCAGGGGTCTTTAGTTATTTTTAGTTAAATAGGTACAAGTACTAAAACGAACGAACATTAATGAAACAAGGGAATTAATTTCGTTAGTTCGACCGTACATAGAGGGCTTAGGTATTATGGGAGTACTTCACGAGTTGCAAGGGTACTTCCTTACGTTATTCTGCCACACTAAAGTAAATCCAAAAATCTCCGCATGGGTTGGGGTTTTTTCAAACATACTGTTCGTTATAATAAATTGTCTCTTACGTAAAACGGAGCGATTACAAATCACACAAACTCGTCCACGCTTCGGAGAAAACATGATTCCAGTTCATCCGTACTAATTGACAAAACCGATAATCGTGTTCCAATGTCCAAAGCGAGTTAGATAAAAACCAATCAAGTGACAGGGAGCGCACAATCACTACGAAGTAAGACGAGTCAACTATTTGCAACTACATGTCCTTCGACCCCCGTAAACCGTTTTGTTGTGGCTCAGTAAGTGCAGGATGGTCAGCGGGCTTATAGTTCGATATGGCATATTATTATGGTTACTAATAATATAAAATGAAGGTACTATAAACTGAATTTATTTAGCTAATTAAATATGCACATGTGTCATATCTTTTGACTACCAGGATATTTTTATACGGTGTCAATAAAAAAGCTTGTTTTTCATAGATCTATCGATTCATACTAATTACATTGTTGGCGGAGCTGGGTGTGTTTTGCCCATCGTCCTTTACGATGTTTTAATTTCCATCGATATGACTGCTAACGATGAAGCGAGTGCAGCACCATTATTCTGGAGGGAGTCGACGCCATGTTTTGAGAAACATTTGGCTTCAAATCACGTGTCCGTGACCATGTTACCCATCTGTATTGTTATTGCAAATACATATTGGGGGCAGCCGATATAAGTAATTAAAACGATTGAAAAGGGGCTGCAACGAGATTACGATAAATACACAATTACGAATGGGTTTGCTAATAGCGTAACGTACTCACGTTTGAAACCTTTGTCGGAAGCTTGTGGTCCACTTATTCTTCTAGCTAGAGGGGCACATGAACAGCACACACAGTCATATAAGAAATTCACAGTTTGTTCGGTATACCGCACGTAAAGATTATGGTTACACGATGTTAGCGTGTGCGCGGGCGCGGAATGGAGTGACGTAGGTCCTCTCGTGTGATCAGTGGCTAACTGTCTGCGTGAAGCTAGTAAAAAACCACATTCGCAGATGCAACCTTTTCGTTGCGAACCTACCCACATTTAAAATAATAAATAAGTGACCACGATTAAGTGATAACGGAACATTCCGCCCACCAAAAATACGTTAAAGTATTTTTCGATATAAAATGAAACGATTTACGACTATTTAGTTAAGATTTTATTACGAAAGGCATATGAACTATTTTCTAAACTAAAACTATTTATAATTAAGTTTAATAACTACAGCGCATTAGTCAGATTGGTTAGGTAAAGGACAAAGCTTTACCAAAGGTCTCGTAAGACGAGAGCCATCGATAGTTTTAACGGTAGCTATACGAACGATTCCATCAGGACTAGTATGTAACACCTCTACTCGGGCCAAAGGCCAATGCAATGGTAACGTATTAACGGTTTTAAGAATAACTACGGATCCCACTTCTAACGGTTTTGCGTGCTTAGTCCACTTAGCTCGTACTGTGAGAGACTGGAGGTACTCATGCTTCCAACGCTTCCAAAAGTCTTGTTGAAAACGTTGGAGCAATTGCCACCTACCTAAGCGACTGATATTTAAAACCGAGTAGTCTTCGTCAGGAATTGCAGTTAACGGTTCCATCGTAAGAAAGTGACCGGGCGTTAGTACACTTAAATCGTTCGGATCAGAGCTGAGTGGATAAAGTGGTCTCGAATTTAGCAGGGATTCTATTTGAACAAAAAGTGTGGTTAATTCTTCGAAAGTTAATGATTGCTCGCCTATGATACGATAGAGGTGACATTTAACAGATTTAATTTGGATTTCCCACACTCCGCTGAAGTGGGGACTCGAAGGAGGTTTGAAACGAAATTCGATTTTCTCCCTATGAGCCGCATTCTGCATAAAACGCTGGAGGTGATTGCTTTTTTTTTTTATATTACTAGGTAGGCAAATGACTCTACCCCATCTGATGTTAAGTGGTGATAAAGTCCAAACGCGAAGATAGCTGGTACAGCAGTTATTAACTGCTACACCAACCATCCTCACCTTGCCGGCCCGCAAAAATGCTTCTTCACGCCTCTCTTAAAGGACCCCAGATTATAGGAAGGAGGGAACACGTGCGCGGGTAAAGAATTCCACTTACGAATAGTACGACAAAGAAATGAGTCGCCAAATTTCTTTGTTCGTGTAGGAATAGTGGCCACAGTAAGTCATGGCAACGTAGGCCAGCGCGCGTGGTCCTCTGAAGAAAAGGTGATGGAGGGATAAGCAAGAATAGCTCCTCAGAACACTCGCCGTGGTATATTCGGTAGAATGCGCTTAATGATGCCACATCACGGCGTAATTGTAGAGACTCTAGTTTCTTAGTTGCCTCTTCATCGCCAATGATGAGCGCGCCGCTGCAACCTATCCAAGGCATCGAGTAAGTACTTTGCGGAGCCATCCCAGAGGTGCGAGCAATATTCCACGCAGGACCGCACTTGTGTTTTGTACAACAAGCACAGTTGATCGGGCGTGAAAAAACGCCGCACCTTGTTCAGGACTCCGAGTTTGCGTGAAGCTGTTTTGATCAACGTTTCGATGTAGTCCTTTGGATTCAGGTCTGAGCGAACTTCCATACCGAGCATGGTAATATTGCTCTGTAGCGCCAGTGTTGTGCCCTGAAGAGAGGGAAGGGGAAGGAATGGCGATGTTTTTGCTGTGAAAGCGCAAGCCTGAGTTTTCTTGGCATTGAACTCAACCAAGTTCCTAGTACCCCATTCGGAAATGTGGTCTAAAGCCCGATTGAGCTCAACGACAAGATTCTCCCGTTTCTCCATGGTTTCTACCTGTCCAGCCGCCGCGTGTCCAAAGTATCTCGCATGCACTGTGCTATCGTCCGCATAGCAATGAATATTCGCAAGTGGAATCAAATCATTGATATGCAGCAGAAAGAGTGTGGGGGATAGAACGGAACCCTGAGGAACACCGGCATTCACTGACATGAACTGCGAACTACATCCGTCCGTAAGGACGCGAATTCTACGCTACGCATGCAGGAAGTCAGCTACCCAGGCGCAGAGCTGAGCAGGCAGACCGTATGCAAGAAGCTTGGAGAGAAGGCTCTTGTGCCAGACCCCTGTCAAAAGCCTTGGCGATGTCAAGGCTAATAGCCAGAGACTCTCCCCGCTTGTCTATAGCTTCACCCCAGATGTGTGTCACGTACGCTAGAAGGTCACCCGTCGATCGATTCGGCCTAAATCCATATTGACGATCGTGAATTAGAGAGTAATCTTCTAGGTAGCGGGTCAGATGGTTGTTAAGGACCCTTTCTGAGACTTTACACAACACTGAGGTGACAGCTATCGGCCGATAGTTGGCCGGGTCTGAGCGGTCCCCTTTTTTGGGCACCGGTTGCACATTGGCGTCTCTCCAAGCTTCCGGCACACGCCCCAAAGAGTAAGAGAGTTGGTACGGTCGCGTAAGCACGGGAGACAACTCCGCTGCACAATGTTTTAGAACAACTGCTGGGATGCCATCGGGTCCACTAGCTTTCCGGACGTCGAGTGATTGCAATTCCGCACGAACATCACGCTGCCTGATTTTAATGTCAGGCATCGTAGTGCCACAATGAGGTAGTGTAGGTGGCAGTGCATTGCAATCACTGATTCGGGAGTTAGCCGCAAAGAGCTTTGCCAACAAATCGGCTTTCTCTTGCGGCTCATGAGCTAGTGACCCATCTGGACATCGCAGAGGTGGCAGCGAGGGCTGGCAAAAGTTGTGTTGCACGGCCTTAGCCAAACGCCAAAAACTACGGGAGCCCGTAGGGTGCGTTAACAATTCGTGGCCAGTACGTGCTACACGTTGGGCATCCGCTCTGATGTAAGCCTTCTTACAAGACTTGGAAGCACTATTATAGGCAGCTTTCAATGAGTTAACCCCGGGATCCTTAAGAGCGCGGCCTCTGATCCAAGCGCGATATGCCGCCTGCTTACGAGAAACAGCATCGGCACAATCGCGATTGAACCAGCGGTTACGTGTGCCCTTACTGATGAGATCAGAATGTGGAATGTAATACTCCATTCCCATTACGATCTCCTCAGTAATGGCAACGGCACTGGATGATAGGTCCTTTTCATTGAAGCAGCGCTGCTTCCAAGGGACAGACGCAAAGTAATCGCGCATACCATCCCAATCTGCCGACCCATAGTGCCAGACCCTGCGTTTGACCACCAATGGTCGAGGGGTTTTGGCCTGTGGCACCTTGACAGATATCAGGCAATGGTCTGATGAACCCAGTGGGGCTCGAACCACAATCTGATACTCCTGCGGATGGGTCGTAAGCAGAAGGTCTAGTAAAGAAGGCGCTTGACTTGCTATATCTGGGATCCTGGTGGGCTGATCAACCAGTTGTGTCAGGTCGTGCGTGAGAGCGAATGCATGGGCAGAGATCCCTGCATGGTCAGTTTTGGAAGAGCCAAGCCACAAACCGTGGTGGGCGTTAAAGTCTCCCAAAAACAACAGTTCTGCGTTGGGAAATTGCGCCTGGGCATCATCTGCTACCCTACTGAGGTGGTCAAACAGTCGAGTTGTCTCTGCGTCGCCGGTGTGAGATCTGTAGAGGCACACGTAGACTCTGGCCAAAGGACCAGAGTCTACATGTACCGCCAACATGGAAAAGGAGGGGTCTTCCAGGCAGCTCAAACGGCGACAACAAACATCCGCCCGAACATACAGGCATACGCCGGCTTTTGCTTTGAAGGATTCTTCAAGCGCGTAGCCGGGATATTTAAGGTAGCCTGTGTCAGCGGGCGGAAGTATTTGTGTCTCTGTGAGAAACAATAGTGCTGGCCGTGCTGTCTCAAGTTGGTGGTGGACAGCATTGAGGTTAGAGTGGAGTCCGCGTATATTACAGAACTCAACCTCAAACAGCGCGGAAGGCGTGGGGGTGTGCACCGCTGTACAACCAAACTTTATTTTACGGGCTGCCATCATGAGAAAAAAGTTGAAAGACGTGAATCGAGTGGAGTTAGTCGCGACAAAGACAGGCAAATATATGGAGGCACGTTTTCCCGAGTAACTGCCTGCGAAAGAGATACGCCGACCCAACGGACGGAACGGCCCCCGCACCCTCCCGGGAGTGGCCGCCGGGACCCCACGCCCCGGTCACCAACCGGCACGACGGTCCACCCCGAGATTATGCGTGACATGATAGGGCAGCCTCACGAACTGGTTAGGAACGCTCGGGCCCCTGTACTGTGCCACGGGCGGCCAGCGGGACAGCCGTTTCTACGGGTCTCCCTGGCCGGTGGGTCGATGCAGTCCTCCCGGCATCGGTTCGACGGATGCCTCCACTGGACCGAATCTGTCGCGGCAATCTCCACTCGAGCTCTGGTTGTACGCTGGCTGATCCCGAAACGCGCGTGAAGTACGTCACGGGTTTTTCACCATGCGTACGGTGGTAACAAACCAGGCGGGTGTTAGGCACCCTACCACCAGGAGAGCAGATGGAAGCTCTGATATCCCTCAGTCGCTTCTTACGACACCCGCGGGAAGTGAAGGGGCGGTGAGTGGTATTCTTTCTCCGTCACCGCACGGAAGCTTGCTTGCTTGCACCTACATAGTTGGTGCCGCAGTCGGAATGAATTATACTGACTCTGCCGCGACGATCAACGAAACGTCGAAGAGCTGCGATAAATCCATCAGATGAGAGATCGGAAACAGCCTCTAGATGAATAGCCTTGGTGGTGAGGCAAACGAAAAGACAAAAATATGCTTTACCTAATTTAGCACCACGATGCTTTCCAAGTTTTATACGAAATGGACCGCCATAATCAGTACCGACAACTGAGAAAGGTTTGACTTGATTAATGCGGATTGCAGGCTAATTGCTCATATACGGTTCAAGAGGCACAGGTTTTGTTTTATAGCATGACACACATTTGGACAAGCAACAGCTCTTTTGGCAGATATAATCCAAAATTGTTGGTTTAAAAGATACTGCATTGTATTAACACCGGCGTGACAGTTTTCACGATGAAACGCTTCGATAATGAGATATGTAAATCTAGAATCACGCTGAATCAAAGCGGGATGCTTATGTTCAAACTCGAGACCAGATCTGGCTAAGCGACCGCCCACCCTGAGAACTCCAGAGGGGTCTAGAAACGGATTAAGTTTACGCATTTGTTTTGAAAGAATGTGTCCTTCTTTCAACTGTCGAATTTCAGTTACGAAGGCAAAAGATTGAACATGTTTGACAATCATCATTAAAGCACTATGAAGCTCTGTACGAGTAAGGAAAAGATTAGAGCAACACGAACGCTGATTACGAAGGAAAGAGGCATATGTTAACCACCAACATAGAATGCATTGTATTTTTCGAATACATGAATAACGTCGAAGAAGAGTATCGAATATCGATATTTGGTCAGTCTGGGCATTATCATGGATTAACAGAGCGCGTGGAGGCTTCCTCTCTAAGAGCATATCTTCTTCCTCGGAAAGATTGATCTGCTGAGGCCAGCGATCGGAAGATTCTAAAAGCCAGGAGGGCCCCGCCCACCATAGAGTATTGTTTACAAGATCGGCTGGAAGCTGTCCGCGAGAAGCGATATCGGCGGGATTATCCTCAGAAGAAACATGGTTCCATTTTGCGATGGGAAGGACTTCCTGTATGTAAGCGACTCGATTGGCGACAAATGTCTGCCACTGAGAAGGATGTCAGGCAAGGAAGCCAGGCAAGAACAACCATCGAGTCAGACCACGCAGACACGATCTGCCGATACATTTGTCGCATGTTGGCCACAAAAACAACAAAGTGAACCTTAAAGTTCAAAAGTATCTCAACAATATTGGTTTGTAGTTTAGGCCCTATGAGTAATGTATCGTTAAGCGAAATACCTTTAGAATCCCTGGCAGAAGCGTTGAACACAACACGAAGTTTCGTTGTGACACTTTCCGGACGAACGACGCAGTGATGTGGAGTGTAGTACTTTCTAGACTTTAAATTTTCGATAGAAACAGAGCTCATATGACCACTGTCTAAATAGTCATTCATAAACTCATTACATTGCCAATGAAGATCGGAATTTTGGAAATTCTTCTTTCGAGTGAATATAAACAACGCAAAGCGGTGTCGCGAGATCCGGGAAAAGAATGTCTTCTTCTTCGTCTTTGAAGGGTAAGGTAACAACCTATCGATACGTGGAATCTCGTGAGTGAGTATTTGCGAAAATATTCTCACACTTATCTTCCTCAGGAGTCAGATGTTTTGAATTTACGAAATTGAATGAATCTAGCTCCCAAAGTTTCTGTACTTTTTCACAAAGAACGTCATTTTTATCAATGAAGAAGTATCGCACCTCTTCGTCTTTGCAACCAACATTTCCTAACAGAAGCCAGCCAAAAACAGAGTTGAGGGCGGAGGGTTGTTTCGGTCCTCTGTCGACTCGACCGGGCAACAGTAGCGAAGTGAAGACTTCCGCACCAAGGAGAAGGTCAATGGGGCCAGGCTTATGACAGTTTGGATCAGCTAAAGGTAAATTCCTTACATGATGCCACGTTGCTTGGTTGAGATGAACGGATGGCATCTTGCCACATATGTGAGGCAATGTTAAGGCGTTAATGGTGAAAAGCGGTTTACCATTAGCACAAATTTGGAGATCAACATTGCCTGTCACTGAAGCGGTAGACTGTCCTAAGCCATGAACTTGACGTGACGTCGATGTGTAAGTAATACCTAAACGGTGAAGAGCACGTTCGGTAATGAAATGTGCTTGACTGCCAGAATCAATCAAGGCACGAAAGTTTTGAAATATGCCAGACTGATCTCGTATTTGAATGTAGGCGGTAGATAATAACACGACCGAACCATCGCCGAGACTCGTCAGAACCCTAACCTGATTAGAGGTCTGACTGTTATTATTAGATTGATTTTGCGAAGAAACAACCGAAACATCTTCGTGAAGAAGCGTATGATGTCGGTGACGACATTTTTGACAACGGAAAATAGATTTGCAGTCACTAACCGTATGAGAAGGTCGCAGACAGTTGAAGCACAGACGATGAGATTTAACAAACTCAATCCGTTCAGACACGGGGGTCTGTGCAAATTTATGACATAAATTGACAGAGTGATTTTCTGAACAGAAAGAGCAGGTTACGATGGATTTGCTGATGACTGGGACAATGCATTCGAATTAGATTTAGTGACGTTAGATGATTGCAGTTGTTTAGATGAATGGGATGAGTTGGAAAGAAAAACTGAAGTGGATTTGTTACGCAATGCGGACGAATTTACTTTGGTTGGTAGAACCTTTTCAGAAAAGCGCGGTTTGTTATTATCATTTGACGAAAAATGGGTGTCACGAACTAGCGCTTCGCATTTTGCGTAAAGAAAAGATTTCAAATCTTGATAAGAAGGTAGTTCCATTGTCGAGTTTAATTGTTCGAAAGCACAGCGCGTTTTTGTATCTAATTTTGATAAAATTAAATAAGAGAGAATAAAATCCCAATTTTTTGTAGGAAGGTTCAATCCCCTTAAAATATTTAGGTTTTCATTAAACAAATCCAAAGTGCGACGAAAATCGAAAGGAGAATTTATTTTAAAGTTTACATTTTGCATTTCTTTCCAACACGTAAACGCTAACTCGCGCTTATTGAGGTACCGGGCGATTAAAGTTTCGTAAGCCTCTCTGTAAAAAATACCTTGGACAGGATAAGTACGAATGAGTCCTAAGGCATCTCCACTAAGGCTAGATACTAAATAATGCATATGTTCTGTGTCTGTGAGTAATTCATTATTGTGCACCAATGAATTAAAAATATCGTAATATTCAGGCCACGATTTAATATGCCCCGAAAATGTAGGTAATTGTAATTTAGGCAATTTTAACTTATAAGTACTTGAGCGTTCTATAGCGGTAGGTAACGATTGTTTTAATTGACTTTCATTTGAAGGAACTAACTGACGGTGCAAAGCCAATATGTGAAAATATGTTTCATCAAATTCGGCTCGTATGGAATCTTGCTCCTCAGCTGAGGTATCATCAATAACTGACAATATATCGGAATGCGAATCTTCAAAGTTATCGACTATTTTTTGCAATGTAGAATAATGAGCAATAAACATGTCAATTTGAGTAGGATCAGTTTTGGCCAGTTCTGCGACAGCAAACATCTTCCTCAAACGATTAAAAGCTAAAGTACGTTTACGGCGCAATGTCGATAAATCGGCGACAGTTAGTCCATCATCAATAGGTATACATTTTGAATTGCGTTTTTTAGCCATGGTATCTGGTTTAGAGCGGAGACGAATATTGTATGACATGTTAGAAATGTATATAAATTAAAATAAAAACGATTTATTTTGTCCCGGAAAAATTAAAAATCACTGTCACCCTACTTTATTTCCTTATAGCGAAAATCAAGTACGGGACGAAGCGTAATAATGTAATATGGAAATAGAACAAATAGAATCGTTCGTAGGTAAACCAAAATATTTAAACGCAATTTGCAAAATCTATAATGTCATTTAAGTATTACGTACTCAGCTGATTACCGAAAAAATGCGGTTTAGTTATCGGTTTATATATTGAAACGCTGTGAAATCGATTAAAATGTTAATAAATGACTAAAAGAATTCAATATATTCATATGCCTTTGGTTAAATTACAATTTTTTACCAATAAAAATATTATGAGGTAGTTCAACTATGAAACTTTTAATGGAGAATTTACGTTAAATTTAATAATTTTGAAAAGTATTTCGATGAAATACGAATTAAATTGACTATGTTCAATGAAATTAATAATTGGGAACTGAGTTTAACTAGAAAAAATTAAGAAAACATATGAAGGTTCGATTTTAGTTCCCGGGTTTCGGCACCATAAAATATGTATTGTTATTGCAAATACATATTGGGGGCAGCCGATATAAGTAATTAAAACGATTGAAAAGGGGTTGCAACGAGATTACGATAAATACACAATTACGAATGGGTTTGCTAATAGCGTAACGTACTCATGTTTGAAACCTTTGTCGGAAGCTTGTGGTCCGCGTAATCTTCTAGCTAGAGGGGCACATGCACAGCACACACAGTCATATAAGAAATTCACAGTTTGTTCGGTATACCGCACGTAAAGATTATGGTTACACGATGTTAGCGTGTGCGCGGGCGCGGAATGGAGTGCCGTAGGTCCTCTCGTGTGATCAGTGGCTAACTGTCTGCGTTATACCCGCCATACACACTACGATAAATCGTTACGATTAAACTGTACAGTCCGAACGGTACCGATAAATCGTAGCGTGTATGTTATAAAACTGCACAGTTTCCTATACTAAACGAAATCGTATAAACTGTACCGTTCGAACTGTACAGTCTGATCGTAACGATTTCTCGTAGTGTGTATGGCGGGTATTAGGCTAGTAAAAAACCACATTCGCAGATGCATCGTTCTCGTTGCGAACCTACCCACATTTAAAAGAATAAATAAGTAACCACGATTAAGTGATAACGGAACACCATCCTCTCTACTTCTTTTAATATTAGTGATAACGGAACGTAATCCTGAATCAACGTTGCCAAATCTTGACACTTGACAGTGACAAGACAAATTTACATTACTTTTTTTTATACGAAGAATCAGATCAGAGTCCCGGAGCATAATCAGTTCACTAATCACTAGCATAAATCTGTGTTCCCGAGCCCGAGGTTTGAGTCGCGCGCGAGTTTCTCACAACGAGAAATCATCAAGACGTCACGGTACCTTTATTACATAGCTATAAATATTTTTTATACCTAAACTCTGCTATCTCTCTGTAATGAAAATGACATTGCTAATAAATACTCTACGTATACCTATACAATAGTTTCAGATTAACAGCAACCAGAGTCACGTCCGCAGTTGTCAACAGTTTGAATTCCCAGAGTAATAATTTATCTAACCAATATTCTACTTATTCAATTGATCATAAAAAACTTGGAGTAATTATGGCATCAGAAAAATTGTTGCCGCAAATATTCAAGTTTGTTGATCAAAATGTAGATTCTTATAAAAAACTTTTAAAAGATGCAGTAGCTATTCCATCGGTATCGTGTGATGTTAAATACCGGGATGACTGTATACGTATGGTGCACTGGATGCAGGACAAATTAAAAGAAGTTGGTGCAAAAACTGAATTAAGAGATGTCGGCTTCCAGACAATTGATGGAAAGGAGGTTAAATTGCCTCCCGTTCTTGTTGGCACTTTGGGTAATGTAAGTATCAGTATTTGCAGGCAGTAATAAAGTGTAGATTTTTCAATGAATTTTCAAAATTTTTTGACATACATCCAAAAACACAGTATGGGTATAAATTTGAAAGTGAGCAGTTGAATATTATAGTGAATAATTTACTGACAACTTTGATAACTTTGAACAACTCAAATTTAAATAATTTTCCAAGCAATAAGTGTAAATCCTTGTAATTTGTATACTGGTTATTTTTTTAGGATCCTAAAAAGAACACAATATGTATTTATGGCCACTTAGATGTACAACCAGCTTTGAAGTCTGATGGATGGGAGACTGAACCGTTTGATCTACAAGAGAGAGATAAGAAACTTTATGGTAGAGGATCCACTGATGATAAAGGACCTGTTCTTGGGTGGCTCCATGCTATCAATGCATACAAAGCTGTAGGAGAAGAGGTAAACTCAAAGGTTTTTTTTTCATTCCAATAGGGATTTGATTAACCATATTTCTATTTAGTGAATGATTTTTCTTTTATTACTTTTGTTACTGATCTTCTCTGTTTTAGCTACCTGTGAATTTGAAGTTTGTGTTTGAATGTATGGAAGAGTCAGGTTCTGAGGGTCTAGATGAACTGCTTATAGAACAACTTAAACCAGAGGGTTTCTTCAAGACCGTGGATTATGTATGCATATCTGATAACTACTGGCTTGGAACAACAAAGCCTTGCATTACATATGGCCTTAGAGGAATTAGTTATTATTTCCTTGAAGTGGAATGTGCCAAAATGGACTTACATAGTGGGGTTTATGGTGGCACAGTTCATGAGGGTAAATTTATTTTTGTCTTACTATTATTTTCTTATTATCTTTAAGCAATTATGTAACATTTTATAATGATAGATCATCATAGAGAAATTCTGATATCCTTGATATTTTATCTTTGGTATCAGTAAGTTCACTGTTCAACTTTGTTTAAAAATATTGTTACTACCTACTTGCTGATTAACTTATATTACATATGCAGTACAATTATTTTTTAGTGCCCTGAAGTATTTGTATTATGATAAAGTATGTATTTAAGAGTACAAACAATATCAATTTTGTTTCATGTAGTAAGTAGCTAGTAAAACTCCATTTTCTTTGTCTTTTTTATACTACATAGCAAACATGAAATTATTTTCTTTTTATGTTCCAGCTATGTCTGACTTAATTTATCTAATGGATCAATTAGTAGACAAAGATGGTAAGATTCTGATTACTGATATCTACAAGTCGGTTGCTCCCTTGACAGAAAATGAGAAAAAATTATATACTACCATTGATTTTGATCCTGAGGCCTATAGGTTAGTTTTTGGTAATTACATATGGTATGATGCATTCTTAATGCATATAAAGCATAGCATGAGACAAGCTTTCATGATACCATGTTGCTCATCACAAGTATAAGATATCACAATCATTCTTCTTTTATGCTGCCACTTTACTTGGCTTTTTTTGTTTGCTATTTGTAAAGTTGACATCAGTCTGTCCATTTCATTCCTTATAAAGCATGATAAAGACACATTCCTGCCACAGGGGCAATCTAGGGTGTAAGAGTGGGGATGACCCTAAATTGCCTCCTTCATTGTAATGTAGAGGCAAGTAGGGGCAATTCAAATGTAGTAAATTACTTGCCTGCTTGCCTACACACACCACAATTATTGAAGCATTTTTTTTTGGTTTTCTTATATTGTAAACTAATCATTTTATTAATGGCATATTTTTTTAGACAGTCAATTGCGGCTCATAAACTAGCTCATAATGGAGTGAAGGAACAGTTGTTGATGCACCGCTGGAGGTACCCTAGTTTATCTTTGCATGGCATTGAAGGTAATTAATAAAAAACCCAATTTATAATACATTTTATTTTAATTTTTGAAACAGATGTGAAGAGTTCTCTAAAACCATATACTAAAACTCTTAAAAAAGCAATTCAATGATTGCAAAGCATCTATTGATTTTTACATACTGAGACTGTACAGTCTTAAAATATTTATTGGCCACATTCATGATTATGACATTTTTTTAAAAATAGTTCTGGTTATATTATATCAAATACTGCAAAATATGATGTTGGATTTAATAATTAATATTTTTAGGTGCTGCATTTCAACCTGGTGCTAAGACTGTCATCCCAGGCAAAGTAATTGGTAAATTCTCAATAAGACTGGTGCCAAATCAAGAGCCAGAAGAAATAGAAAAGCTGGTATTTGATTATGTCAACAAAAAGGTTTGTGTGATTCAACAGTATTATTATTCAGCTCTTATGAAGCTGTTGTTCTTTAGATAACAAATGGACAGCAGAATAAAGAATGAGTAATGTTTGTTTGTTATCATCTATGCTGTCCAGGATTGTCGACAAATATTTATTTTTCATTGTTTTCATTGTACTTACGGTTGCCAAGCAAAATAGAATATCTTCTTGCCTTTAAAATAAGGAAAATATTTCAATAATATTTCGGATGTTAAATACTTATTCTATAGATTATGGAATATTAAAGAGAAGTTAGATTTTAACACTTAATGATTAGAATCAATCATATCTAAAAAAATCTTTCTTCTAATGTGAACATAATAAGCCATTTTATGTCCCTATAATATAAAAACATGATAATTTGCTTTTTAGCTTCTACGGTTTTTTCTAATTTGACCATTTACAAGTTTAAAAACTTGCATACATGTGCATAAGTAAAATAAAAATAAGGGACACTGAAAACTTATTTTATTCTGTTCTTCAAGATTTTGGTTTGTGTCTATAATTATTTAGGTAGAGTAGGCAAGTCTACAAGCTTTGCTTACAAACGCTAATTTCATTTAATTCTTTACTAAGCCAACTGTTGTGTCATTCCACTGTTGTACTATGAAAGTGATAGCATCAACTTTAGTCAACAAGTGAACATATAAGTTTATTGACTTCTTTGACGGCGGGCGGCGTTTAGGTTCTATCTGATGAATATATATCTGCTGAATTGTTTGACGGTTTACACCGCACATTACGTGTGAAAAGCATGCCCAGCAGTCTCGCGGAGCGCGATGCTCCAAATAAATATAACACGACATACTTTCTTAAGTGAATAAATTGTATTTAATTTTAGTAGCAAAATAACTGTTTTACTGTAACCATCTAACTAAGCAATAAATATGTGATAATTTCTAACAGGATTTCCTTCAACTACTACACAACTTAGAAGTTAATTTTAACCTTCATCTCATAATTTAATGGTGTACTGTGAGCGTGGTCAACTAAGCTCTGCATCGTACAGAACTAATCGACGGTCACACCCGAGAGCGACGACGCAAACAGAACCAAGTTTTGGTCATGTTATGAGCAATTGCTCACTTTAACTGTGGCACGCCTGCCTCGCCCACAAGGCCCTTCTAACCTCTTTCTGTGCTCTGTGCTTGTAACAGCCATAACTGAATAAATGATTCTGAATTGTTTCTCGCTTGTTGTTAGTGGCAGGAGCGTGGATCCCCCAACAAGATGCGCATCAGTGCGCAGAGCGGGCGCGCGTGGACCGAGAACCCTGACCACCCGCATTACCAGGCGGCGGCGCGCGCCACCAAGCTCATCTACCAGGTATGATGCGATGCCAACGCTATGTTAGTGGCTGTAGCCGGATCCCCAACAAGTTGCTGCCTCGCGTGGACAGAGAACCCTGACCACCCGCACTAGCAGGCGGCGGCGCGCGCCACCAAGCTCATCTACCAGATACGATGCGATGCCAACGCTATGTTAGTGGCTGTAGCCCTGACCACCCGCACTACCAGGCGGCGGCGCGCGCCACCACGGTCTGCTATCAGGTATGATGCGATGGAAACGCATTCCATTTTTGTCTAGGGTATTTGGCAAGATTTAGTAAACAATGTCACTTTATTTATGGAGTCTATAAAAAGTCGATATTCATAATTTCTGTTGTGTATTTTAGTAATTAAACTTTATAAAAAAACCATTTTTAAGTTGCTGCAAAAACGTTTCTTTGGACATTATGGTGGACACTGGTATGTGACGTCACACGAATGTCATTAAAACGTCAAACGATACAATGTTATGTCTCTTTGACCGGAAGTTTACCAGCGTGTGACGTCATTTTAGTCTTCGCCAAACCCAGGCGTTTTCGGTCACGTGACTATAAACAAAAAAGTATTTAATGATTTTTAGAAAACATATTAATTATTTGTTCTCTAAGAATAGTAAAATCGCATCATATTGCATAATTAATACCGATGCCAAAACTGGTACCTACTTTATTTTTCATACTGTCAAATAACCTATTCTTTAAAGTCAAGCAGAGATAGAATGAGGCTTATCCGCTTAAAGGTCGTGGCACACATATCACTTCGAAAAGTAATCGTCATTGTATCAACTCGATCCGTTCAGTATTCCTTGTATGAAACTCTACCTCAACGCACACTAATAGAAATCGTACCGTAATCGCTTGGCCTCCTCTACTGTTTTTCAACAGAGCCATTTTGTAATTTGTAGTAATATTTTAGTTTTCGAACGACTCTTATAATATAAATAGTAAATAGTTAATTTTTTTTGGAATTAATTGTTTAGATGGCTATGATTGTACATTTTTCGCATAAATTGACAAAGGCGTTATTAAACAGTTATCTATTACTACAATCAGTAAAAAAGTGGGCCCATAAACGAAAGAAGTGGGCTGGCCATATTTGCCGAAGAGCCGATAACCGTTGGGGTAGACGAGTTCTGGAGTGGAGACCGCGTCTAGGTAAACGTAGTGTAGGATGTCCTCAGGCACGATAAAGTGACGATTTGCGCAAGGTGGCTGGCAGGAGCTGGATGCGAGTAGCCCAAGATCGATCTGAGTGGCGTGCAATTGGGGAGGCCTATGTCCAGCTGTGGACTAGGACAGGCTGTTAGTGATGATGATGATTATGATAAAAGAACCTTCTTTTACATCTTTTTAATGGTATATGAAATGAAGTATATTATGTTATGTGTAATCGGCAGACTGACCCGGACATGTCTCGCGAGGGAGGCTCTATCCCCGTGACTATCACGCTGCAGGAGGCGAGCGGCAAGAACGTGCTGCTGCTGCCCATGGGCGCCGGGGACGACATGGCGCACTCGCAGAACGAGAAGATCAACGTGCGCAACTACATAGAGGGAGTAAGTATACCACTCAATTCACTTAACGTGATTCTTACGCGATTTATTGTTCACTAGCGGCCGCCCGCGACTTCGTACACGTGGAGTTAGTTAGAAATAAAGGTTCACTGCTTGTTCCCCGTAGTAGGTGATAGCGTGATAATAAGTAGCCTTTATGTTGATCCGACTTCTTAATAATATTCGTGCCAAATTTGAAATAAATCCATGTAGTACTTTTTGAGTTTATCCCGGACATACATACAGACAAATGGACAAAAATTCTAAAAACTATATTTTTGGCTTTGGTATCGATTGTAGATCACACCACAAGTATTCTTTAAAAAAAAAATGCAATGTACAGTTCTGACTTTCCTACCATTTTATTATATGTATAGATTGATCCGTGTTCTGAATAATTTTTTCTAAGGCTGCGTTTCCACCTGCAAGGATACTTCTACGAGAAATGTCCGATAGCTACTTGCAAACTTGCAATGCTGTCGTGAGCGCCACGTATACATTGCTGTCGGACAGACTTTCGGACGTTTCTCGTAGAAGTTTTCTTGCAGGTAGTGTAACGTGTTAAAAACCTTACATGGATCTCCTTCGCTCGAAGAGCGAGATAGAAGATTTTTTTTGGTTGTCTCTCTGGTCGTTTTTATCTCGCGTCCATTTTCTTTAATCTGTGCACTTTTGAATTATTATGTTTCTGCATTTATCAAGCAGTAGGCTGTATGGACGTTGTTCTCTTTGCCTTCCCGGCAAGAGAAAACAAACTTGAGAAAAGACTAATGTCACTTCACTTCACGACCAAAATTTTTACGTAAAACATGTAAGATAATTAATCTAAATTGTTTACTTGATAATCCATTGGATTGTCGATTGTTTTTAATGATGTAATATTTTACACCGTTTGCGCGGAATGGCGGCGATCATATTCCAAGCTTAATTTGTTTATAAAACGCGAAAAGCGTTTTTTTATTTGGATTTTTTATTTGGATTATTTCATTCAAATTTCAACATTTCCCGTGATGTGGAGGTGAACCCACGTGTTGTAACAACGGCCATCCCTTAAATATTTACAACACCAGACATATACACTACCCAGATCAGATGCAGCAAAGTTGGTAAAGTCCAAATTCATTGTCGTACCCGAACCCTAATATAAGGTAAATTTTCATTTTATTTTTGGTAGAATCATAGTCTTAGTTTCAAAATTTAGCAGTATCCCTTTCGGACCAGTAATTTCGTAGTAAATTTAAATAAATTGACAACCCAAAATGAATATGGATTTGCATTAAACTCCCCTTGCGATTAATAGTCCCGTGCTTTCCCGGTTAATATGTTTTAATGATAGTGTGGTAGGCCTGGCGCCCGAGTATTCTTTTTTAATTAATTTCGGCCTATCCATTTAAAGTAATTTTCACATTTGACACCACTGCTTTTATTTTTTATTATTACAATTGACGCCAGCACAGGGACTTGGTTTATGCAATCCATTTCATTTTGTACCTATAATAGTAGTCTTGTCTGGTTGTTTGTCATCTTTATTATTACATTTGTGATATAATATAACTTTTGTACTTGAATTTTGATACATAAACATAGATTTTGTTTGTAATATTATTACAATTTAACTTAATGTTTTGGATGGTTCGTGTTAATATTAACTTTTCATTTAACTACTTGTTTTGAACTTTATTTCATATTTGAAATGTTCTATATACGTCTGTAGTGATGCATCACATAATATTAACTACTTTTGTATGTTAATTTAGTATTTTGCACATGCAAATTTCTTAGAATTTACTTAACTCGTTAACAATTATTTGGTTTATACCAATTGATGCATATTGCATATAACTTAAACTTTTATTACCTTGTAAACTATGATCATTGTGTTATTGTTTTGTTATTTACATTTGAATATGCAAATTTACAAAGCTTTTTGCTATATATAAAAAAAAATTAGGACAAAAAGTTGTTCGAACCTTTTGATAATTTTTAAAATGTTTTGTGAACATTATTTGAAATTCTTACAAGTTTCTTAATGATAAATATAACTGTTCCACAACTTGTTTTGAGCTAGTATATACATTTTTTAAATAAAACATAAACTATAAAATTTAACTTTTATAAATAATAACATAAACTTAAAATAATTTAACATTCTTTGAAAAAATAAAACTAAATATTTTGAAATACTTTCATAACTTAATGAAGCATTGTTTATATAATAATAATAAACTTATGTTGTTGTAACTTAGATATTTTGACATTTTGTCACAAACTTATTTCAGTTAAAGTTAATATAAGTTTTTATGTTAATAATTTTTAAATAATTTAATTTAGTTACATAACTTAACTTAAGATTTAAATATCTTTCACCAGTTGTAAACTTGCTGCATCTTGCTTTATCTTTTAAAAGATTTAACTTTACATTTACTTTGCGTTAACTGCGTTTATAATTTCACTGCTATTTTGGCATTTTGCGAGAATGGAAGGTGACAAACTTGCACTATCTGCTGCCTTGCCGCCTAAGGAGCAACCTGTTTCTTTTTGCATTGTGATGCTAGTTCTGTTGGTATTGGTAGTGTTTTGAGTCAAGAAGATGATAACGGTGATCAACATCCTGTTGCTTTTTATTCTAGATCTCTTAATAAGTGTGAACGTAATTATAGTGTGACTGAGAGAGAACTTTTGGCAATTTTAGATTCTATTGAACATTTTAGGCCGTATATTGAAGGAATGAAGTTTATCGTAGTAACGGATCATGCTAGTTTAAAATGGCTTTTAAATTTAAATAATCCTTCTGGTCGCTTGGCTAGATGGGCTGCTAGAATTTCACAATTTACATTTGATATAATTCATAAAAAAGGTTCTTTGCATGTAGTTCCTGATACTCTTTCTCGTTATGATATAGCTGCGTTGACTGTAAATTCAAATCGTATTGTTTCGCCTAACGATGACATCGTAGATCCTTGGTATAGAAAGATTTTTGTCAATTGTCAAAAATTCCCTTCTAGAAATAAAAATTTTAGAGTAGAAAATGATACTTTGTATAGATTTTGTAAATCAAAATATAGCGTTAATAATAATTTAGATTGGAAAATTGTTGTTCCAAAAGAACATATTTTAGATACTATTAGAAATAATCATGATGATTTAAATTCGAGTCATTTAGGAATTCATAAAACTTTGCATAAAATAAAACTACATTACTTTTGGAAAGGTATGTTTAATGATGTTCATAAATATATTAATAATTGCGATATTTGTAAAGCTTATAAGCATTCGACTTCTAAACCACTTGGAACTATGATTAATCCCAAAAAAGTATATAGACCTATGGTAATGTTAAGTATGGATTTAATTGGAATCTTACCCAAAACTTATTCTGGTCATAAATTTATATTATCTGTAGTAGATGTTTTTACAAAATATTGTTGGTTATTTCCTTTGGCTAATGCAACGACTAGATCAATGTGTAAGTTCTTAGAAAAAGATATCTTCCTTAAGTTCGGATGTCCAAAAATAGTTGTATGTGATGACGGTACTCAGTTCACTTCTAGAAATTTTGTAGATTTTCTTAAAGGTTTTAATATTGATAGAATATTTTATAATACTTTATATACGCCTCAGAATAATCCAGTGGAGCGTTATAATAAAACGGTTGAAACTTGCATTTCTTGCTTCGTTCGTGATGATCATAGAACTTGGTCGAAATTTCTTTGACATGTTCAGTTAGCTTTGAATAGTAGTGTTAATTTGGCTACGGAGTTCACTCCGAATTTCCTAATGTTTGGTAGGGAGTTAATTGTTGATGCGTCATTGCACCGTTTTAGTAATTCTTTTGATAATTTAACACAGATCGATCTTGTTGACCGTTCTGCTTTTGCTCATTCACTTTCTTCACTTGAAAGTTTTTTTGTTAAAGTTACTGGAACTTTATTTAAAGCATATAAACTTAATGCTTCTTATTATAACAAGCATCGTGAAGTCACTTCTTATGATGTAGGTGATATTGTTTGGAGGAGGAACTTTGTTCAATCTAGTGCTGCTCATTATTTTTCGGCAAAACTAGCTCCGAAGTTTAGTAAATGTAAAATTATTGATAAAATCTCTAATAACGTTTATGTTTTAAAAGATTTGGTTAAAGGTACTTCTGGTCGTTACCATGTTAAAGACATTTTGAAAATTTAGATTGCTTAGCTATTGTTTGGTTAGTTTTGTTAAACATAAACATATCTTTGTGTTTTGACTTTTGTAACTTGGGTAATTTTGAGGGTTTGATAGTTGATTTTCTACGTGAAGTATGTTAGGTTTCTCTCGTGTAAGATGATGAAAGAAAGTGATATTACTCAATTACATTTGACTTTACTCATTGACTTTTTGGTTTTTATTAAAGCCAAGTTTTGCCATTATATTATTTGACTTTGAAAATTTTTAGTACAATTTAAAATTTACTTAGTATTCCTACTTGTTTTCTGCATCATAAGATTTTATAACCTTTTGTTTCGTGCAGATCTTTTATCTGTATGGACACATTTTTATTAGGATTTTATATGTCCTTATTTGTTATTTTTGTACAAACTTATTTGTTGGTACTATAGTTGTGTCGTGTTTCTGCATGTTTGTTGTTTTATAACAATTTGTTTTGTGTACAAGTTTGTGTGTGTGATAATAGTTACACCCGGATTTGACATTATGGGATCCCCACTTTTTCCTTGGATTTGACATCCATGATTTTGACTTTTTTCGTTCAATATTTTTGACGATTTGTTTGGTTTACCACTTTGTTTTGGTAATTTGTTTGCCCATATTTGTGTACATCAATTGTTTGTTTTTGCACATCATGTTCGGAAGTTCGGTGGAGTTGTGCCGATCATGAAGTTGCAATTTCGACTTTTTGTTCAACATTGTTGACGCTTTTTTGGTTTTGCCATATTGTTTTGGTATTTTGTTTGCCCATATTTATGGACATCAATTGTTTGTTATTGTGCTTCATGCTCGGGAGTTCGGTG